TGTCCTGCCAAGGCAGGGGGTTGGACTAGAAGACCTCCAAGGTCCCTTCCAACTCTGCTATTGTATTGTATTGTATAGTTCATCAGACTGAAGTGAAGATTCTTCTTTTAATTATCACATCGGACCATCTCTGATGTTCCTGAAAAATCAGCCCAATCATAATACAGTTAGTCCTCAACTTACAACCACAATTGAGCCCAAACTTTCTGTTCTTAAATGAGACATTTCTTCAGTGAGTTTTGCCCCATTTGATGACCTTTCTTGCCAGAGTTGTTAAGTGAATCGCTGCAGACGATAAGTTAGAAACCCGGTGGTTAAGTGGCTTCCCCATTGACTTTGCTTGTCAGAAGGTCGCAAAAGGGGACCCCATGACCTTGGAATGCTGCAGCGGTCGTAAGTGTGAACCAGTTGCCAAGCAGCTGAATTTTGCTGATATGATCATGCCGATGTTACAAAGGTTGTCAGTCTGAAAAATGGTCAGAAGTCACTTTTTTCCAGCGATGGTGTAACTTTGAACGGTCACTAAATGAACTGTTATAAGTGGAGGACTACCTGTATTCAAAATATAAGAAGGGTTTGACAGCCGCAGCTGTACAAGTGCAGTCAAGCTTGCTATCTCTATACAGATAGGAATTTATTATTTAATAGTACTTCTTTGCAACTTCAATAGCAGAGGAATTAAAAGAAACAAGACACGGTGCACCTTCGTTCAGATCGGGAATCCTTCATGCATAGGTGTAACTCAAAATTCACGAGGTGTTTTTCGTTATTCTTTTCCTTGTCACGCCAACTGGTCTTATTTTGCTGCAGAAAATCAAACTTGGAAGTTGCAGCCCGAACAGAGACCTGTACCAAGTGTCATTTTATGCTCTGTACCTTTCCTAGATTGGTACCATCAGCTGGCAAAGTCTGGATTGGCATTAAATCAATCCATGCACATCAGCAATTCTACCTAATGTTGGGTTTTCCCCCTTACCAGAGGGAGCCCCCTTGTGGAGTACTGTGAAGCCGTTACCACGGCAACTCCATTGGGGTGTATAATAGAAGCCATTTTACCGCAGCACAGTAGAAACCACATGAAGGCACAACAGGCTATATCCTAACAGAACACACACACCGAGGGTATTAGGGGTGTCTTACCCCCACAGTATTTGTTTCCAGAAAGTAAGTCATCTGTGTACCAAGTTTGGTTGAAATTGCTNTGCTCACTCACTGTTTTTGCAACTGTGCAAAATCTCAAGGTTCTTTATTTGCTGTTTGGGATTCTCTGCTCTGTGAATTTTTTTTTTTTTTAAATCCCTTCCTTTGGAAACTTATTCTGAAAAGCAAAGTTTCTCTCAAAAACTTCCCAGATCTTAAACAATCGTTAGGATCGACATCTTTATCCCATAACATCCTTTTCATTAGAAATTAGCAGAAACTCGGCGTTGCCCGTGTATTTATTTATAGGGGGAAAATGTCTGGACCAAACGTAATTTCTAATGTTGGATTTTCCCCCTTACCAGAGGGAGCCCCCTTGTGGAGTCCAGTGAAGCTGTTAACATGGCAACTCCACTGCGCTGTACAGTAGAAGCCATTTTACAGCAGTAGAGTAGAAGCCATTTAAAGGCACAACAGGCTGTATCGTAACAGAACACACACCCTGAGGGTGTTAGGGGTGTTTTACCCCCACAGTATTTATTTCCAGATTTCGTTGAAATTGCTTGAGGTATTCCAGAACATATACACATATTAACATTTTATATATATATGGATGTGGGAACTTAATCTCGGTGCCAAGAATTTGCCAAGGTGTGATGTCACCGTTATTGAATTAATTGGTGATCAATTACAGGTAGTTCTCAACCTACAACCACAATTGATCCCAGAATTTCTGTTGCAAAGCGGGACAGTAATTGAATTTTGCCACATTTTATGACCTTTCTTGCTATAGTTGTTAAGTGAATCACTGCAGTTGTTCAGTTAGTAACATAGTTATTAAGTGAATCTTGCTTCCCCATTGACTTTGTTTATCAGAAGGTAGCAAAAGATGATTAGGTGACGCTGGGATAGGACAATCATCATAAATGTGAGTCAGTTGCCACTTTCTGAATTCTGATCACCTGACCATGGGGATGCTGAAATGGTCGTAAGTGTAAAAAAAGGTCATAAATATCACTTTTTCCAGTGCCGTTTTAACTTCAAATGGTTACTAAACTGTTCTGANTATTATCTATTATCTATTATCTATTATCTATTATCTATTATCTATTATCTATTATCTATTATCTATTATCTATTATTTATTATTTATTATTTATTATTTATTATTTATTCATTCGATCTCTGTAGCTGCCCATCTCAGACAATGATTCTGGGCAGCTTACAATTCTGAAAATATATTTCAGTTTTTAATGTATTAAAATATTAAAAATTTAAAAATCAATATGTTAAAGTTAAAAATATTAAAAGCAACTTAAAATAATGGAAACAATAAAAATGTACTAAATGTATACCTTTAATATATTTTTTTTGACGGGAGAAGGAAGGAATTTTCATTTGTTTTTGAAGAGAAAGATCATCTTGACTTTTTTGCAACCTTTACTCAGAAGATCTATATACTTTAAAAAATCAATTAATTGATAAACATGTGAATTAATAAGAATGTAGCCAAAAGGAGGATTAAGGTGGAATAAGGCAACACGTGTTTCTAGCAGTTTCTTAGTTAAGAAAGTAGAAAGGAACGAAAGAATTTATTGGGACAATACTTTAGGAAATAAAACGGCCTTGACGTAAACATTGTGAAGCAACAAGAGATGAATATGGAAACAAAAAAGAAAGAAAGAAGTAGTAAATGTTTTGATTAGTGTTATTTAGAGAAGAATATTTATTATTCTGGAACTGAATATGAATCTCCATAGAATTGCCGGGAGAAGCAATAATAATTAGATCCTGGTGAAACAATATTAATTAAAAGCAGAAACTGAATCCTATATACTTCCTTAGTTTTCTTTGCAAATAATCCCAGTTCAGGAAAAATCAATAAAAAAACGTTTTCCAGGAGTAACACATAAATTTTCCTCATTTTCATACCTGTTTTGAGTACAGAATCCAGTCCACAGATATCTAAAATATAGAAATGTGTGTTTCTTTTACTTTGCCCCTGCAGATTCTGTTTTCCTTTTATGGTGTTGTACAATGGATAGAGCTGTTTATTTATTTATAGAGAAATGCAATTGATAAGCTGCTCTTCTGCTAATGATTTTGGGTGGCACCCCTTGACTTTACAGTTGATTTAGTGACAATTTTATTCCCTTGGTTTGAACGCTGCAAGACTCGTGTTTCTGTAAGCATCACATTTCCTCTGTTTTATTTTAAACACTTTTACCCTACTGATAAAATACGGGTCACTTTAGGGGTGGTGCTGTGTTTTTAAATAGAATTTTTTTGACAGGATGATAAAGTGAAGATTTTTGGAGAAAGGCTGTGCCAGCTTAAAAAGAGGAATTCTGTTGCTGAGATTGTTGTTTTCTCCCCACCCCCCAGCACTGATATTTTTAAGCTGCATGATTTTTCCCAGTCTTGCCAAGAACATGGCTCCATAAATCAGTCTTTAAACGGATTAGAAGCACCTTGGTTGAGAGAGTTGTGAAGGTCTTATCAGAAGCTACCTTGTCTCGGCAACTGATCGGGGTATATATCATATAAAAGAAAGTTTCCTTTCCATGTGGCTTGCTTGAATTTCCCCAGGGAAGGATGTGTTTTAAAAGCAATAATTAGTACCTGTAGACAAGGATATTTGTAATTCAGGTTGAAATGAGGGGTCCGTGGTGCTCTCTGAGCTTGGTTGTTTTCTTGCAGACATTTCATTACCCAACTAAGTAACATCATCAGGGCCAGAATGGATTTTCTGATTATATGCAGGAGGTTTCACGAGAAGCCTTCTTCATGAGATGGAGTATGGATGGATCATAGAGGAAAGCTACAGAGAAGGCCCATTGTAAATTTGAATTGCCATCCTTTTATAAAAAAAAGAACATAAAGAAATATATCACAATTTATCACAAAAAACCCGATGAAGTATAGGGAAGATGTTTTTAAATCTATTCTTTTATTTCCTTATTACAAGTTAGTCCTTGACTTATCAGCACAGAAGAGCCCAAATTTTCTGTTGCTAGGTGAGACGGTGGTTAAGTGAATTTTGCCCCACCTTACAACCTTTCTTGCCATAGTTGTTAAGTGAATCACTGCAGTCGTTCAGTTAGTAACATGGTTGTTAAGTGAATCTGGCTTCCCGACTGACTTTGCTTATCAGAAGGTTGTAAAAAGTGATCCCATGAAACCCCGGACTCTGCAACCATCATAACTACAAGTCAGTTGCAAAGCGTTTGAATTTTGATCACATGACGATGGAGAGGCTACAATGGCCAGTTTGCCCGAACCGGTAGTAAAAAATGCTAGTCGGTAATCGGTTATGGGTCAATCAGCTGTGCCACGTGATTTATATTCTCTAGAAACCATGAAGCACAGCTGATTGTTGCACAGCTGATCATCAGAACTTTTTTTTTGTTTACTTTTTAAAGCATTTTTTTTATTACCGGTTTGAGAGAACCGGTAGCAAAAAAATGTTTTAAAAAGTTTTTTAAAAGTTCCAACGATCGCAAGGCACAGCTGGTTGTTGTACAGCTGATCATCGGAACTTTTTTTAAACTTTTTTTTTACGATCAGCTGTATGACAATGAACTGTGTCACACAATTTATATTCGCTAGAAAGCAGAAAATCCTGCTTTCTAGCGAATCTAAATCGCACGGCACAGCTGTTTCCTCCCCCCCTGCTGTTCTACTTACCTTTACTGATTCAGAAAAGGCTTCTTAGCGTCTGCTGTGCACATGAGCACAAAGGAAACCAGTAGCAGATTTCAGAGCATTTCACCGCTGTATAGCGGTACTGTGTGAAAAACGATCATGTCACTTTTTTCCAGTGCCGTTGTAACTTCAAATAGTCACCAAATGAATTGTTGTAAGTTGAGGACTACTTTTAAGCGTCCAAACAAAACTTGATGACATTTTTCCTGTTGTACAACTTTCAGCTTTATATACTTGCCGTGTGTTTGTTCTTGGAGGAGCGGAAATCTGTTGTTTTGGGCTAAAATATACATTTGTTTCCCCTTCTTTCACAGCTGTTCCATGTGGCCTATGTACTGATCAAGTTTGCAAATTCTCCCCGTCCGGACTTGTGGGTGTTGGAGCGATCAACAGATTTTGGAGAGACGTATGATCCTTGGCAGTACTTTGCCTGTGAGTATGAGAGTAAAATTAAAAGGAGTTAATTGATTAGGCAAAGTTAACACCCTGTTTCCTTGAAAATAAGACCTTCCCGGGTAATAAGCCCAATCAGGCTTTTGAACGCATGCGCTAAAATAAGCCCTCTCCCAAAATATTGCAACACAGAAGCAGCCATGAGGTGACCATGCTTGCCACCTCCTGTACCTCAAAAATAATAAGACCTCCCCGAAAATAAGGCCAAGCGTTTATTTCGGGGGTCAAAACAAAATAAGACCCTGTCTTATTTTAGGGGAAACACGATATTTATATAAGTTGAGGAGGAAACTTCAACAGAATTGGGTGAGATTGTGAGGAGGGCGAAGCATAATCTCCCTCCGCTCTGCATGATGTAAATATTCTATGGATGCCCAGATAGCATTTAAAAAGAGAGAGTGAAACTTCTCTCACCT